TGTACAGTAGCTATGTGGCATTTAGGTTTGGAAAGATTCTCAAAGTTCAGCAGATCTCAGTAGAAAAAAACAAAAGTAAATGATTGATGATGGTTCATTTTGTGCTTCTGTCACAAAACCAAACTTTGACTTTAACAGTGAAAGAAGCTCATTGCTGTATATTTTATTTATCTGTTTGGTAAACTGAGACGTACATGAAGCTGATTGTTGTAGGAGCACTATGGGGTGTGGGCTGCTACATTCTCCCTCTGAGGCTGCAGATGTTGAAGTCCACACTCATTATTTTGTCTGCAGGTGATATGTGTGGTGCAGCCTGTCACTTATTGGAGAATGTTTCCTTTTCTTTGCAGCAGGCGTCAGTGGAGATCACCATCTCTATCACAGCCTTGGAAATGATGTAATTCTGCCCTGTGATGATGTATCTCCATCTGAAACAAGATGCTTCCTCTTTAACTGGATTTATGAAAGAGATTCACATTCTGTAGACCACATACCCAAAGTAGTTAGAGGAGAAGTTAATCAGAACTCACCTGGAGGATCCAGTCTGAGTCTGAGCAATAACTGCTCTCTGATTATCAGCAACATCACTGCTGAGGATGCTGGTCGTTACACTTGTCGGCCAGACCAGACCCCTGACACACTTGTTCATCTAAATGTCCTGACCAGTGAGTATTTTGACTTGGATGACATTAAGCTTCATACAATCACATCCTCTGATGAACTCTGTAGTTCTTTGTCAAACCAAACCCTCCCTCACACCCTGAGCTGTTACTGACGCTCCACGCTGAGGATTAAAAACCACTCATCACCCACACAGACATTACTTTGACTTTAAGTCCGTAAACTTCTATCTGTCATGGAAATGAATACCTCTTTGGTTTAGGACTACTCTTAACATGACCGACCTTCTCAGTGAATATCTGGAGACACAAATAGAAATATCTTAAAATAGATTTGGCTGTTTTCCAAGAAAGGACAAAATAATCTGGTTGGTCATTACTTGTTTTAATTTGGGGCAAACATTGAAAAAGACTGGTTACATTTGGTTCAGTTCACATTTATAATTAAACTCACATATTCTGTATCTGGTAGCTACTACTTCCACAGGAACAATCACTCAGTGAATATTTCTACTATTGCTATGTTNTCTCCCTCTGAGGCTGCAGATGTTGAAGTCCACACTCATTATTTTGTCAGCAGGTGATATGTGTGGTGCAGCCTGTCACTTATTGGAGAATGTTTCCTTTTCTTTGCAGCAGGCGTCAGTGGAGATCGCCATCTCTATCACAGCCTTGGAAATGATGTCATTCTGCCCTGTGATAATGTACCTCCATCTCAAGCAAGATGCCTCTTCATTGACTGGATTTACGAAAGAGATTCAGATTCTGTGGATCGCATACCCAGAGTAGATAAAGGAAAAGTTAATCAGAACCCACCTGGAGGATCCAGTCTGAGTCTGAGGAATGACTGCTCTCTGATTATCAGCAACATCACTGCTGAGGATGCTGGTCGTTACACTTGTCGGTCAAACCATCCCCGTTCCACACTTGTTCATCTAAATATCCTGACCAGTGAGTATTTTGACTTGGATAATGTTAAGCTTCATACATCACATCCTCTGATGAACTCTGTAGTTCTTTGTCAAACCAAACCCTCCCTCACACCCTGAGCTGTTACTGATGCTCAACACTGAGGATTAAAAACCACTCATCACCCACACAGACATTACTTTGATTTTAAGTCCAAGAAACGACAAAATAATCTGGTTGGTCATTACGTGTTTCAATTTGGGGCAAATGTTGAGAAAGACTGATTACTTTTGGTTCAGTTCACATTTATAATTACACTCAAATATTTTAAATCTGGTAACTACAATTTGCACAGGAACAGTCACTCAGTAAATATGTCAATATGTAAATATGTCTCTCAGTCTCTCCATCTCCAGCAGACACTGATCCAGAGAGAGACGATGAGGTCACATTAACATGCTCTATGTGGAGATACAACACAAACCGTCCTTGTCCACAGAACAGCATCCTCTGGGTGGATGAGGAGGGAACTGTGCTGCCTGGTGAAGATGGCGGGTACAAGTTCAATGGACAGATGGACTGTGTTTCTAATCTGGCTGTGAAACGTCAGAGTGACTACAACAGAAGCTACACCTGCCAGTTTATTGAAGCAAACAGTGTGAAGATAGATGCTCACTTCACCCTTGTCTACACAGGTAGGACCACATGTAATCATGCCTTACAATCACAGGATTTTTAGAAAAGTTTTTTTCATTTTGTTACTTACCTGGAACCCTCTGACCACAGATCCACCCCCCAGCAGCACCTCGATCATCGTCGGTGCAGTGGTCGGGGTGCTGGTGGTGCTGGTCGTCATCGCTGCTGTTCTCATCAAATACAGAAGGCGAGCCAAAGCGACGGAGGGTCAGTAAAACATGACAAGTACAGCGTTAGTTTACAAATGGAGTTAAATGTACGATGATCCACATAGACTTAAGGAAGCACATGAACAAGACAAAATGCCTTTGATCTGTTTGACAACACATGCACAGATCAGATGGTTGGCTGGGTAAGACTTCTTTATTCTGTTATTGATTGTTCATTTTACTCTCCTTTACCAATGTGTACAGTTCACCTTGACCATTATTTTCTGTAAAGGAACCTCAGAGGTCATTTAATGTGCTTTTACAACAACCATTATAGTTGCCAAAAAATTGCAATCCCTCTTCTGTTAGCAGCACTTGTAGATGTGCTCGCTGGTAACTGTTGTTCACCTCAGAGTAATATACTTTGCAAACTGTTGACCAGAAGTGTGCCATATACAATATCTATAGAATTGAGATCATTTTTTTGACTCTTGACATTTTACGTTTTGTTCCAGGTGTTCAAAAACCAACCCACTCCCAAGTAAGTGCAGTATTTTCTAATATAAAAACACCAACAAAATACCAATCGAGCTACTTCCCAAATGTATTTATATGCTTTTACACTCCCACAATTTCCTGTATATCTGTAACAATTTTTGCCACAAATCTTACAAACTGACGAGAAAATGATGAGATATACTTCCCTTTTCTTATTTTTTTCTTTTGTTTTTTTTTTAGCTGAAGAGAGAATGAGGAAATATTAAAAGACGTCATGAATCAGCAAATTCTCATAAATAGTTCACTTTTCTCTCTAACAGAAAGAATACGACGTTATCTGGATAACATCATTCTGTTGGGATAACTTCACCCACTAATTACATTTTTTCTGTTTAAAAACTTTGTATTTGGCAGATTTGGACACTCCAGTGAAAAGTGTGCATGTTGACGGTGACTAACAGATTAATCCCAGATGTCACAATGTTTCAAGTAACAAAAACAGGCTGTAAATTGTCCATATATTTATGTATAAACTGAATTAAGTGTACGTAAAATCCCAAAGTGTCACATTCGAACAATGGAGCTCTGTGCTCACTGCTGCCACTGGTGGCCAGATGCTGAACTGCAGCATCACTGATGTTCACTACAATGTTATTGTGTCTCCACTGTACCAGCAAAGTTAAGTTGTACTTTAAAAAACAATATGCATGTAACACCAAGGAGGTAATATGCATTTCATATTCACACTTCATGTGTTTGCACTCAGGAAGAGCCAGAGAGTAATCTGACCTACATCACTGTCAACCATGCAAACCAAAATCCAAAAAGAAAGGTAAGTGACCTAACTCAGATGTGGCTTTATATTTAATTGAAGGTGCCATCTTGAATTTGTTTTGCAGTGCTGTTATGAGATGCGTGTATGTACCAATATGTCATCTAAGCTATAGGCACAAGTGAATGCACCTTTTTTCCCCATTCTGGTCTTAAAGCCACAGCAGCCAGAAATCATGGAAAGCTGTAAGAATTTGACAATATACGGTCAACAAAGAGGAGGTGCAGAAGTCTAGTTTGATCTCACACTTCCTCAGTGCAATATGCTAAAAGATTATTATGGAATTTTTTATCCAATTACACCATCCAATACAGTTCTGCCTACCCCAGCTTTAATCTTTCAGCAAACAAGGCTACGTTGGACATTAGTGTTCTTCCAACTTTGTAGTATCTTTGTGGAAGACCCTTTTGTGTTCATCATCACACACAAAGCCAGCTGCATTCAGAAATCCCAACACTTTTGGAAAGAACTAGAAAGCATTGTAGCCCCTATGGTTTTATAATGAAATGTCCAACAGCAACACATGGGTGTAATGGTTCACAACTTTTTGTTGTGTAAAGTATATGAACAAAGCCACATCCAAGCATTTCTTCTATAAACTAAAAAAAAAAAAAGGCTCAGTCCTTCATAAAATAACAATCCACAGACTCACTGTACAGTTTCAGAATTTATTTATAAATGTAAGTTATTTAGTGGTTTAAAGTCTGAATCATGTAAAACCTCAGGCTTGTGTACTGCAGGTCAAAGTGAAGGAGGAGGCGGTGACTTATTCTACAGTCAAGAACACAGTGAAGGCCGACAACGATCCCAGCAGCTTCTACAGCTCGGTCGGATGAGCTCACCGCAGTGAATGAGAAGAAATGAAGCTTTTCTTAGCCTCAGTGAATAAACCTGCTGTCTACCAGAAAGTGGGTTTGTGCCTCAGACTTCTTATCAGATGTAACTGATCATCACAAGGAGTTGTTTCTAACTTTTGTTGGCCATAAAGTAGAACTGGCTGCATTTATGTTTCTTATCACATTGGATTATAAATGAGGTCTCATTGCTATAGATTGTAAATCTCTGTTTTTCTTGGAAAGTCAAGAGTTCTTGCTGTGATACACATTTTATTTTGCACCTTTTTGGGAATGT